GACGGAGGTGACTGACAAGAACAAGTCTACTCTTCCCAACATCAAGACCAATCGAACCAAGAAGGGAACATACGGCGTCCCTGGAACGCTTCTGGACAATCCCAAGTATAATGACAACTGGCGACAGGAAATGGAGAAATTGGATGCTTTGAGGGCAAAGCGGGAGAAAAACGTTCCGCAACCAAAGCCAATGGGTTCACCATTTAAAATTCCAGGCGTTACCCACGACTTTTTAGACGAGCTTCACGCCACTGGCGTGTCGGCCGTATATCACTACGAGCCGGTGGAAGAGAAGTCCCCAAAACGCAAAAGGCGTGCCAAATCTCCAGCTGCGGTGGCGGCTTTTACACAGGAGAGGCCGATGTCATTTAAACGGACCAAGTCTGGTCAAGAAGGCTGCATTGCAGATTTCCCCAACACCTGGATTGACCCTGAAGCTCTGGAGAGAGAGAGAAATAAAGGAAAGAAGAAGAACCGAAAGCCAAAGCCAGAATACGTTCCGAGCCCTCCTAAGGGAGCAAGCGGGATCTGGAAGCCGAATTCATTTCCTGAAGCATCGGTTGTACAGTCATGTCTTCGTCGATTCTACTAGTTCTGCACGGAGCAGGAACATGGAGAGCTTCTTGATATCCAGAACAGAGTCCCATTTTTGTGCTGTCAAACAGAACAAATTCAAAACAATCACAACAACAACAACAACAACAAAAGAGAAGTTTACAGAAGAAAAGGCGATACCGATGATGAAGAAGCAAAAAAAAAAAAAAAAAAAAAAAAATCTAGCGTCCTGTATGGAATGAGCTGCGTGTATTTATACATATTTGAAAAATTTGTCCATGTAAAGAAATAAATGAAACAGGGGTGGGGTCGCAATGTCTCTCGATGTTATGAAATTTACGCTGTATGCCCACACGTTTGATGTGGGGTATCTTATTATTATTATTTATTTATTTATTTATTTTGTTATTTGACTTATCCTGCTTTATTGTACATATTTATGTTTGTATCTGTTAGATAAATATATATATTTGTGTGTATGAGTGTGTGTGACGCTGCCAACAGGGTGCTTTTATTGCTGACAGCTGTCAATGATGGCTCTTCTCCTTTTTATTTATTTTTTGCTTTTGCTTCTCTCTCTCTCTCTCTTTTTTTTTTTTTTTTGGGTGTGTGTGCAACACGCCATTTTTGCGGGGAAAGTCGATAAAAAAGGGAATCAGAAAAGAACAAGAACGATACAACGCAGTTAACGGCGACGGGAACATTCACGGCGCGGGACAGCACGGGGGGTCTGAAATACAGGCGGGGAAAAGCAACAAGCAAGAAGGAAATCAGGGAAAAGAAGAAGAGAAAGAGTAATAATAAATCGTGCAAATAAAGGTAGCGCCGCTAGCCATCGTCACCGACAGTGAAAGGAAGCGCAACAACAACAAAAACAACAAAAAAAAAAACAAAAAAAAGACAAGGAAAGGAAGGAAAACGGAGAAGAAACCGTAATTAAATCAAATAAAAAAAATCATATCAGGTGGCTTGTTTTCATTCCTCATGGCGCAGGTGGCAGATGAGTCCAAGGCGATGGCCTCAGAGGTGTTTATGAGCAAGTACCGCAATGTGAAATCAATTGGTAAAGGTAGCTTTGGTGAGGCGGTGTTAGTGCGGTCGAAAACAGATGGAAAGCGTTATGTCGTGAAGGCGATTGAGTCTGCCTCTATGACATCAAAGGAAAAACGAGATGTACAGAATGAGATCCGTATTCTCTCAGCTGTTAACCACCCAAATATCATTCG